ATAAAGTTCTCTCTGTGTATTAAAGGCCCTTGAGTGCCACCGAGTAGAGAAAAAGATTAATAAGGTCTGCTCATTTCCCACCTGTTCTTCCATAGATCAATCTGTCATTGCTTCCTCTGATTTTACTGCAACAAAACATAACTTTAGACTTGAATATAAATCTGACTTGCAGAGTTTACCCATTGAAACATAAGATATGAGACTAGAGAAGAAAAAGCCGTATAACAGAGTGCCTTCTTTACTGAAGCAAATCCTTTCTCGCTCCTTGGAGAGCAGGATGGTGTAATGTGAACAGATTGCACTTCTCACATTCTGGAAGAACAGTTTATTCCATGTTCTGACAGCGTTTATTTGGATCTTGAAGAAATGGCTCATAAGAAGTATGGGCAGAACGTTGTATTTGCCATGAATTACCCTCTTTGGAAATTCATAATATAGAATAATATCAGCCACTTGGTGTCTTATGAAGAATGTTTCTGTCATTAGATTCTTATTTCGAAAACCAGATGTTAAGGGTGGTTTTCTCAGAAAAGTCAGCACCACAGGCCCTGGAAAAAAACAGGAACCAAAGACACTGGGAAAATCAATCTGTAAGTGCTGAGAACAGTCTGGTTGGGGATAAAAGCAACCAGATTATCTGTAGATGTTCTAGGGACCTGTTCTAGAACCACAGGAACATTGCTGCAGGTTGGGAAGGACCTTTGAACATCATCTGTTCTACTCCCTTACAAATCAGGCTTAGTTTGGGGAGGTTGCTCAGCATTTTCTGCTTTTTACTGATGAATATCTCCAATAATGGAGATTTCACTGCCTCTCTGGGCCCTTGCTCTGAGCACCTTCATCATGAAGAAACTTTTGCTCAGCTTTAATATCACCTTTCTTTTGCTCCAATTTATGCCCATTGCCACGAATCTTGCTGGGAATTTCTGAGAAAGGTCTGGTTTTGTCTTCCCTGTGAAAAACTCACTGGTGATCCCTCCTGAAAAAAAAAGTTTGGTAAGGTACTAAGTGTCCAAAACCAGGCAAAGTGTGGTCCAATAAATGTCAGGTAAAAGAGAATAATCCCTTCTCATCAACATCTGGCTGTGCTTCTGCAACTGCAGCAGAGAACGAAGTTGGTGCACTTCAGGTCTGAATTTTGCTCTTATTTTATTTTTAGAATAATTTCTTTATCTATTTAAGGAATCCCAGAAATTAAGTATCATTTCATTGCATTTATATGCAATAGTAAAATTAGTTCTTCACAGAGCTCACTGAGAGTACAGCTAAAATAAGAGTTGCTTACAGAAATATCCTGATTATCTACCTGGGAATATTCCATTGAGGCTCTACAGAACTATATAGGTAAAATTTGTCATGTTCATTTATATCACAAATGACATAATGACATTATAGGAACCAGGGCAGAATAACAAATACATTGTACCTTTTATTCTGAATTTTCTGAGTCCAGCAGTCCTTATGGTATTGTAGTGCCCTCAAATTTGCTTTGGGAGTCAGAGTCAAATGCAATCCATACTTCTCACTGTCTGTGTGTGCTGGTAGGCTGACAGCTCCCAGAAGCTCAGATGACCCAGACAACCATGAATTTTGATTTTAGTTCCAGGCTTTCCCCACTAGCATCTTTACCTGAGGATCTTCAAATCAGAAACCGCTAAATTCTTGATACGGCGATATCAATTTCTGATGTTAAAAGCAGTGAAAAGGGATTATTTTCACAGTATTACAAACGGAGCCCTTTCACTCTGCTTTCTGCTGCCTCAAATATCACTGTTCCCTCCATGAATAAAGCAGGGAGTAAATACGAGACCTGTCCATGCAGAAGCCGAAACACGTTGTAATGAGATGGCAGCACATTCCAGATAACAAACATTTGTAATAAACAACCCCTGGCTCTATTTATCACAACTCTGGGATATCTGGACACAGACACGAGTCTTGAAATGGGACCATAAAAGTGAAGCCAAGCACATTCAGAAAGCCTTTTTCTGATAAGCCCAATCTTGCCGAGGTTTTTGCATGAGCAAAATGAATGTGTTTGATTGAATGGTACCAAAGTGTAGATAGGGGAGCTCAGCAAGTGGTTATCAGAACTTTGGGGGCAAAAAAAATATCGAGTTATGCTGGAAAAGGAGTCACTGAGGGATGTTTGGCAGCAAAACAGGTATGCAGGGAAGAATAATTTATTTTTTTAAGCCTGTATTCCTGAATATTTGTAGGTAAATCCGGTCTTATGACTCTGAACACTCACAGGGTTATGTCAGTACCACTGAGAACCATAAAGTCTTAATTCTAAAGTTCCAGTAAGGAAACTACCCACAAGCAGGCTTCCTGAAAGATGCAGGCAATCCCTGCAAGGATGTCAGTGCATTATTCTGCAATCACAAGTTGATTTCATCAAAGTGATTTAATAAACCGTGCATGAGATTCAATTCTTAATGGACCTAATTCAATCAGGTGACGTTTCTGCCTTGAAAGGTGATGCATTTTGAGTGGAGTGAGGTGCTGGATGCTGTGGAAACTTCATTTCCCACTGCAGAAGTGGCCGTGTTGCTGAATGTTGTGTAAGATTCAGGAAATGACATCACAAGTTTAATATCATTTAAATCACAGTCCACTCCATGGACTTTTTTTTGCTGCACTTCAGTATGAAATCACACATATTTACAGTATGCTGATTTATTTTTTTCCTCTTAATTTTGACATTGACATGTTTTGACACCAAAGAGATAATATTCTAATGGAAGAGAAAAATCATATTGTCAAAGAGCTGTTGGGTTTGGGTGTCCAAACACACAATCTGCTTTAATAGCAAACAAAAATGACTACATTTGGAATGGGGGTATTTGGAGTGAGCGTGGAGAATTCTCACAGTTGACAACCGCCTTACATTTTTAAGTATTTGCCAAATATTCTCTGCTAACTTAGGAAACAAAATTGAGAAAATGAGAAGATGTAATAAATTTAAAAGCTGAGTGACAGATCAATCAAGCTCAGTCTGGAATCATCCTCAATCTCCCTGGGACTCCTCATAAATTTCATGAATCAGAAGGGTGAGAGAGGCTGGGGGTCAAAGAGAGGAATACACTTTGGCACGTGGTGAGAGAAGAGACAAACCCATCAATTTTACAGTAATGTGATCCAAAGGTAGGCTGCTGCATTTCAGCTCCTCTCTTCCCTGACCTGTGAGGTGCAGCAAAGTGCTGGGCTTCCTAAACCAGCAAAGGGAAAAGTGAGTTTTTTCCTGTTAACACTGGGATATTTTAGGAAAATGCCCATCTGAAAAATATCTCTGCTGTTTGTTTTATTTGACTTGCTGACCGTTCTCAGGAAAGGTAGAGGCAATAAGTCTTGAAGGAGCTGTGCTTCCTGTGCCATTCCTCCAAGGTCTGTGTGCCCCCCGTTACCCCAAAGTCCTGCTGGCACTGACTCTGCCCCCCAGACCAATAAATGCAATGAGAAATAGATCCTTGTCCTGGTTCTGTCGTTTGCCATAAGTGGAGCCACAATCCAGCTGAGCAGCTTTTCCCAAGGGATCATAAAAGGCAACAACCTGAAAAAGAAAATGCAACCCCAAGGATTTTCCTCCTGGACTTCAGGGTAACTCTTCCTACTGTAAAACAAAATATTACTGGAATAATACTGGAATACTCACCAAAAGAATGAAACTCCATCCTCTGTTTAAATAAAGAAGTGTAATTTTTATGTTATTGCACGTGCTCTGTCTTGTATTTCTCATTTCTCCAAGTTTAGGTAGAAGAAGATGAAAGTTTTAACCTCTGCTGCAACTAATACATTAAACACAGAAAGCTCCACCATAAATTACCTTTTCTTTACCTTCTTCTGCCATTGTACAGATAATAAATTGTCTTCCTAATGTAACCAGTTTTATTGCAGTCTTGAACTCAGCAGAAGACAGATAATCACCTTTGCACCATTAGATTTGATTAAGCTAAGCTCAGGAATTGGACCTGCAAAGCACTGAACTGTACATTTCTCAGGCCAAGTTTAAACACACATGAATACTTTTCAATACTAATGACTCAGATGGGTTTTGTTTTTACAGTCATGCAAATAGTTTTTTCTGGTTGTTTTCTACAGAAAATGAATGTCAAGGACATATTTTACAGCGTGTAAGATGACATAATACAGAGCAACAAAAGCAGCCAACCATGCAGGTAAAGTTCTGTTCTTCAAATCCAACCTGAAATAGTCTTTTAGACCTGTGTGTGTTAAGTGTTATTCATACATAGTAGGGTAACAATAATATTAGTTATATTAATTCAATTTAATCGTTCTAGTATGAAATAATTTTTTAATGAGTGAAGATTAACTCTTTTAATTAATGAACCTCTGGTTTTCAGTTGACACTGTACACGAAACTCTGGTTCTGAGCTTGTATGTCAGTAAGAATGAAGTGGAATATTCTGATATTTTGGATCTCAGTTTAGTACATTACACTGCATATCGAAGGATAACATTAGAGAAACTTTTCTCATACACTGTATGTCTGAAAATGAAAACTCCCTTTATTTTAAACCCCCTATATTTTCTCCCTTTTACTGTCTTGCATGTTTTAACTTTCCATTTAATGCATATGTATAATTTTTTAGGCTTTGTAATAATGCAAGTTGTTATGAAAATCTGCATTTTCTTCTTGCCTTATATCCTAAGGAGTCTCAGATTGTTCCCTGTGTGTACAGATACATATATTAACAACAGGGAAGCAAATGAGTTGTTAGTGAGGTGAGAAATACCTGGTAAATACTTTCTGGTCTCTGCATGAATTCTCTTTACAATCCAGTTCCATGCTTTGTTGGCAGTTAGGGCTGTTAACCGAGCTAAAAGGACTTCACAGCCAATTAAAATGAAATTTCTTTGAATTATTTTTCTTTACTTGAAGGAATAAGCAAGTGAGAAGGTTCTTGGCTATGAGTGTTCCAGTAGACTGTGTGAATGCAAACTGAAAACTCCATCTTTTTTCTGCAGCATTTGTAGGGCACAAGGTGAAGAAAATTTGGCAGCGGAGTCAGATAAGACTGAGGCATCATCTCTTTTTATTTTTTTTTTTAATGATTCATCTTTCACACATTTTGCTTGAAAGAGCAGGTCTGAATAATTCTGCTTTGGAATGAAGAGGCCTTCCAATGCCAAAAAAACGTGAGAGACTTGGACTGAAAACATGCCCAGCACCAAGGCTGATTGTGAGTGCTCAGGACTAACAAAGCTGCTTGAAAGTGTGTGGGTTTTTTCCAAGTGCTTCCCTGAAATGGAGCAACTTAATTTGGTTGCTCTGCAGGATTATTTGATTGTGAGGATGCTTAGACATTGATTCATCAAACCCAAATTGCTTACAAGGAAAGGTCACAGGTGCCTACTAGTCCATAAGATAACTATTAGCCCTGATTTGGGGTTGGAATTGCTATGGATTTCTCACATTTTCAACAACCTGTGCCTTTCTAGGAACTTACCAAAAAATAATGAAACCACAACTCGGGAAAATCACATTCATTATCATCTGTGCTTGTCCAGAATATAAGGCTTGAGTGCAAACACTTGTCCTTATAAAATATTTCCTATATTCTCTAACACTGTCAGGAGAGTTATGCATTGTTTTTCCATCACATTTCTGAAGGCAAAAAGGCCATTTTCCTTACCTGCTGCTGCAAACCTCTGAAGGCAGATGAGTGGGAGATGCTGAACTCCCAAACAGGGGAATTTTTGGAGGTGTTCCTCGATGTGTGCATCCCCATGTTTGGCACAATATAAACCTCGTGTGTGCAAACAAGTTCATTAAAATTGCAAGAGCCTGTGGCACATTTGTAACAGCTTGCCCAAAGGTTAACATTTATGGCTTTGCACTGCCAACATCCTTGCTTTTATGGGGCACATTTGTATGCTAAATTGCCTATTATGTTAAGCTGTAAGTTCCCATTTAGCAGCATCAGGAATAAGATTTGACTATAAGTGTTTAGATTTTATTAGTGCTGTGCTTGTCTTCTTAACAGCTCAAACTTCCCACAGCCTGAAAATCTGCTGCAACCTCTGGAGAGGTTCTTGGGTAGGAGATGTGTTCAGGGACAGCTGAGGATAAAGGAGCATGGGAAGAAATGTGAGGCAGTGATGGGGAAAAGGTGCCTTGCTGTGTCTCACCTTTACAGGAGCCCTAAATGTCATGTTCAAGCAATGATTGCATCTAAAACAATCTCAGTAACATCCCCTTCTCCAGTTAACGAGACCAGAAAGGTCAGCTGGAAATATTCCAGGGGGAAGGGGGTTTTATTGGTAGGTAAATATGTCCAGTGGCTTTGTTTTTGCTGCAGGTTGCTTCCCAATGCATGAGCTAACAGTGATATACCAGCCCTGTAAACTGAAATGGCAAATTGCAGCTGGATATGCAGTTCTCAAAGGGAACAGAAATGTATTTGCTAATGAAACTGTGTTTCACTCAGACTGCCCTTGCTACCAGGGATTTCTCAGCAGATTCTGGGACTGAGGGACTTAAAAATGTCACAAAAGCCTTTCAATTCCAGGTCAGCAGATTGACAGAGCAGGGACCTGATTTCAGACAGCATTTTAAAAGCCTTCATGAATATCTGCTCACCTTGGACTGTAGTCTGCCACTATGGAAAGTAACTTGGCAAAAATAACAGAAGCTCAGACTTTATCTGTAAATAAAAAAAAAAAAAAAGAAAAGAAAATAGTGTGAGGTTTTTTGTTCTTTTTTTTCCTTTCCATTGTCATAAATGAGAATGTGAAAACACAAACTCTTCTCCTAAGCTTTTCCTACCATGCTAGAAAAGAGCTTTGAGAGCAGATGTACTGATGTCCTTCACAGGCTGACCAGGCCAAGTTTGCAGATTTATTTTTCATGGTGGGTGTAAGGATGATGCTCAATGTTTGCAAACTCTCACAGAGCTTGGGAAACACGAGCTCTTGAAAAATATTATCATGATAATTATTAGAACTAGCTGTTCACCCCAACCAAAAGGAGGAAACATAGAAATGGAGCTTCAGGTTAGTCATACAGAAAAATTAATATTTCCCATGATTCCCAAATAAGCTTTTTATGTAACAGGATGTTCTTAGAGGCAAGCAAGAATGATAAAAGTAATGTAAAATCTTCCAGCACAATCCACAGCTGAGGAGGGCTGCCTCAGCCACTGATTAAACAGGATTGCAGAGTCGTGTGTTCTGCAGAACTCAACATTTTTCAGGGGCTGTAACAGCTGGAGCGAGGAAGGTGCTTTATTCTGTGTAAAATACAATATCATTTCCAGGAGACAGAGGTCCCACATGAAAGGCCCGAGGTCTCTGTAGGAATCTGTCTGCTGAACACACTGACTTTGTTGCCAGGAAAGGCTGCAACCTCCAGCAAATGCAGACAGTGCTTTGCCTATTAAGACAATCCGTAGGGGAGAGACTCAAGGAAAGTAGCTCAGAAAGTTGTTTTCTTTTTTTTTTTTTTAATGACCTATTTAAAGTTACATTTTTCAAATAATTTAAGAAGAAGACTTAGTTAATGCTACTTAATCAAAGTTCCCTGCAAATAACTTAAAGGTGACAGGTCAGCAAAGACATGCTTACTTAAAGACAGTATTTTAAGATTTAAAATGCTAAGAGTCTTACCAAGTCTAATCTGCTAAAAATTATAATAAAGCATAAGAGAAGTTCAAACCTTATTTATTTCAAGATCAGATTTATTATTTTTTCAAGGCCTTGCAGGCAGGGAAACAGACAAGAATTAATACAGGAGGGCTTTCTTTGGAAGCACACATCCTATATACAATGGTGGATGGATGATGATTGATCCCTTCTGTCATCCAAAATATTTGAGAATTTTGGTCAGTTATTCTCTGTGGCCTAAATGAGGTTTTGTGTTTTAGGCAGATGAAATTATTTACTTTGGGAGCTGTTTTTTTTTCTTTATACAGACATGGTGTGACCTCTGTAAATGCACTGCAGTACTGCGCTATTTCCAAGTTCTTCTTTGTTGTAAAGTTATTTTTTAAATGGCTGTTGCTGTAGTTTGAAATGAAAATGGTGACCTTAACAAGCACTATCATTATTATGCCTTCAAGGGACTTACTCACTCTCCTTCACTCTGGTATTCAATGTCTGACGAGCTTGGAGTTCTGGGTCTATTATTTTGCTGAACTCACTGAAAAAAAGGGACTCTGCATTGTCCTCTGTTGCTTTCTTTGGGTACATTTCATATTAGAATACTGCACAGCAGGATTCTGATTGCAAGGTAGTAATTGGGACAGTATTCTAATTAAAATCACATACCTAGAACTTCACTTTTCAGAGTGGCACAGTGAATAAGTAATTGAAGAACAAACCCAAGTGATTTTTTACTTTTTATTAGTCTCAGAGAGGAGTGTGGAGATCCAGTGAAGGCATCACAGACTGCTGGAAGGAGAGAGTTCACTGCTGTAATGTGGGAAAGGAGGAAAAAAAAACCCACAAGCTAATGAAATGGAGCAGACCACAAGTTCAAAATTCTAGAGAAGACTTGACATAAGCACTGATATATTTCTAGCCTAAAACCAAAACATAACTCAGCCTTGCAGCTGGGGCTGTGAGAGTGACAGGGCCTGAGCACCCTTTTTGTATCAGAGCACTCCTGGAATTTCAACCAGCTCAATGAAGGAGGAGCAGGGTCCTGAGAGGGGGGGACATTGCACCATTGTGCATCCTCCAAACCTGCAAAAATTAATCCAGGACACATTTTAGATCCATTTGAAGATTTCTGAGTCAAATGTGTCAAGCACATTAAGAGTAAAGCAGCAAATCCAGACAGTTTTTAAATACCAAATGATGTGATTTAGTTTAGAATGAAGCAACCAGTGTTTGGAGAATGCCTTTAATAACATTGTCTCTCCCTCTGGAAATTACCTATGCAGTGCAGAAAATTTCTATTTGGTTATTTCTGCAGGTAAACATTGTATTTATTACATTCAGAAAGCAACAGAAATTTCGATGGCTGAGCCTACACCAGCTCCTGTAACATTTTCCTTCTCCTTTACATTTCTAATAAACATGAATTATATATGGAGACAGGCATGCTTTGTTTAAACTGCTGCACTAAGTACCCTGTGGCAGCAGCAAATCAGTGGTTTGCTTTCTCATACATTTGAATGAATGCAATAACTGGAGTAAACAATTAATCTGATGGATACACAGGATCTCTCTGTAGCAAAGTAGAAGTAGAAGAATAATACTGTTCCATTGTTCATCCATTTGTCATTTGTTGATGGTCACACTTTATTGACTTTACATATTATTTGTCTAATTATTTGATTCTCAAAGTTATTTTGAATAATTTATTCAGTCTTTGCTTAAACTGATGTCTGAAAAGTATTTTTTTGCTTGATCTCCAACTAATAAGCCAATTATGATCAGCTTTAGAAGTTATTAACCAGGCTCCAGTTTCTATTTTTGCTACCTAATTAAATCTAATGCTCCTGGTACTACAGTGACACATTGGGCACTTCATGTGTTAAAGTTTTGGGGTTTTTTAATGGTAGCATTTGTATAATATATATGCATATACATGTAGATGAGGTAATGAAAAAAACCCCAAACAATTGCATTTATTTATTTATAAATACCTTTTTAACTGGACCAGGATGAGCTCTAGCTGGGCTTTAAGGCTGTTTGGACGTGTCAGCAGACATTATGGGAGTGAAATTGCTCAGAGGAGCTTTCATTAAGCTTCTGGTGCCCTGGAGGTGCCATGGACATTGTTAAATTAAGGGAGGAAACAAGGGTGGATGTAAAGAGACGTTCCCTGGACAAGCAGGAAACATTGGATAATAAATTTGCAGAGCTTGTTCCATTTTTCTCCTGCTTTTCAATTTTCTTCTGATTTTAGAGATGGAGGAATTCAAACTCCTTCCACGAGAGAAATAAATGCTTCATGGAATGTTCATGGTCTGGTTTGTCTTTGCTAGGTAAAACCAAGAAACAAGGAAAATTATCTCTTTATAGGACTCTTACCCACCATACTTGCTGAAGTTCTTGGGTTTTTTCATTAAATACAGAAATATTTCTCTTCAGGAAGAAGTTCCTGGAACGTTTCTGATTGGGATTGACCAGCTACATACACAGTGTAAATATGTAAATAACATGTCTGTTACTTACCCAGACATTAAATAGGGGCAGTTAATAACTCTGTCCCAGACAACCTAATAATTTACCATGGGCAAAGGGAATGAGCAAACAAGAAGACCAGGACCTTACAAGTAGGGAGAAAAAAATGATTTATTTCCTGCCCATAAACTTCATCACATTTTCACATTGAGAACATCAACCTACAATCCCACAGCTGAGGTCACAGGAGACACTACTGCCTTCTTTTTGAGGCTGACAGGGACCAAATCTCTTTGGGGCAGGACAAGTCCAAAACACGAGCTTGCCTTTGGGAGACAAGAGTCCTAATGGAAAGCTGTGAAAAATATTTATCTTTGCTTCCTGCCAGCCCTGTGAAAGGATTCTGAATAGTTTCTGTGTAGCCAGTGGTATTGATGTTTAAATGATCAAAAACATGGCTTTGAGCATCTTTGTCTGGAGGCCTGGATAATTTCTTCTTCAGAAATGAAACCAAGCCATTGTAAAGCTGCTGAAAAAAGGAAAAGAAGCTCCTATGGATGGATTCATATGTTTAAATATATAAAAAATAATAAATCCCAGAGCCATTGTAATGTTACAAGTCTTACTCTTTTTATCCAGAAAGGGGTTTATGTTTGGGGAGGATGGGACAAAACACGTCACAAATTCCTTCTGCTAAGAAGAAATAACATTATTAGGTTCACTGTTTCCTCAATAATACTTCTGAATAACCACACAGATTTCTGTATTGATGAAAAGACATCAAGAGTTGTTCAATTTCAGTGGGTTTTTATCCTTGTTTAAATTCTCTCACTTTCTTTTTCCTCATACTAGATTTAACATTGCTTAGATCATCCTGTCTGCTTTTCTCTCCCCCACACCCCCTCTACATCTTCACTAAACCAACAAATTTGTGAACCCTTTTGCTTAATTTAAAGGCTTAAAACCCTTTTGTTTTAGGTCTCTCACCTCTTATTATGTACCCCAAAGAGAAATTGGAGTTTATCATGCACCAAAACTACAGGCAGAGCTCGCAGGCAGCCTGGATTTTCCTCGTGCCTGCACGCTATAACCTGAAGGTAAAAACCACCCCAAACAACCAACCCTCTTCATTTTGTCCTTGAATTCTCAGTGAGAGCTGCTTCAAGGAAGGCACAGAGGGATTTTTCCTGTCACTGACAGCAGGCCTGTGTCATTTGCTAGAAGGATCTGATGCACTTTAATCCTTCAGGTTATTCCTTGCATTTCCACTTATCCAGGCACTTGTGCTCGCTGTCCCCTGCCCCTTGTGCTGTCACAGGCATTTCTGTGCTTACAGATGCACCTGGGCACACCTGGCTGAACTGCTCCTGCCAGAAGATAATCTGCCATTCTGCTTCCAGGCTCTGCTAAAAATGGCTTAGAAATTGTCATAAATACCAAATTAATTGTCATAAAAGCACCAGATTTATAACCGGATGTCTCTTCTTTCATCCCAATTTCAACATTTAGTCCCTCATTTGGTAACATAAAAATTATGGTAACTCTGTGTTTTCTTTTTCTACATTTCTATGTC